GACAGGCGGAGGCCTTTAGCAAAGTAAAAACGAGACATGAATAATATTTAGGCATTCAGGCATAGGAAACTGCAATTTCCCATGATGTGCATCGAGTCATTTCATGCTTATTGAATTGCCCTAGAGTTGTCTTCCCAACCTAGTTAGCACGTTTGTAGTAGTGCAAAGAGTGACCGAGATTTCTTCTTTCTTTCAGTATGGACCATACGGAGCGCCCCGTTAAACTTGGATCCGGCGAATTTGACAGCCAAATGTCCTTGCTCTGGAACCTGGAAACAGCTCTTGACAAATGGCAACCGTCGAGCGGGCCGAACGCACAGGAGCTCAGTCATGCTAAAGTGTGAAACCGTCGGCGCCATAGTGTTGAATAATCCAAGGCTCCTGTACACCCGTAAAACTTGCTACTGATGACTGACAGCGTTCATTTTGATATTTCTGTTGATGAAGACCAAAGATTAAGACGTCTTTTTCGGTGGTTCAAATGCCGTCACCATCACAAATGAACCCAGACCATCACAAATGCCTCAAAATGATTACCGCTTACGTTTTTTGCTACCGCGCGCTTCTATTGACCGTTCTTGAAAAGCTGACTCAGATTCCGGTCGATTTGGAGTAAACGACTATTAAATGTCTTCTCATTCGTTGACAGCACCTTCATCAAAAGAACACCAGCTACCAAACGAATCATTCCGCAAGCCTTTAAAAACCGTTTATCTTTCGGTTTCTGCCAGAAAGTGGATACGACTGATCGAGCTTATTTATGCCCATGTTTCAGGCGATCCACCCTCTGATTCCAAACTTCCTGTGCCACTTCGCGCAACGCTGGCTTCGGATTCCCTTGAACTTGCAACCAATCTTCTAAATGCTTTTCGGGATGGACGAGGTAGTTGAGCAACCTTTTATAAACGGCCCTTAGTCTCTCCATCCTCTTTGAAACGTTTCAAGTCTCTGTAGACATTTGCTGGCATGAAACCACTCAGTTTTAGCAAGCTCGGAAATTTCATTCCAGCCATGTAACTCAACTACTACGATTCATAACTTTGCACAACTGGCACTATATAGATAAATAATCAGTAAAAAACGTATCTAAATCAAAACTGTACGGAGAGTTCAATGAAATTATAAAAATTATAAAAAACATTGTATCCATGCTATAATTGAAACTTATGTATTAGACGGCGACAAAGATAAAAACGAATCTCATTCGCTGTACTAGACATTCTCATAGGAGTGTTAGTAATCATTCAAAAGCTTGGTTCTGTAGCTAAGGCAGTACGCGCTCGAATCTTCAGTGCATCCCTTTATAACGCTGTGATGTCCAAATAAAGGTATGTTTTACACTTGCCTTTAGCCTTCATCTTTATCACGCGTGTGATTTGCTGGAAGCGCGAGAAGCTTTGAGCGTGTACAGAACTTTTCGTAATATCAGATTTATAAGTTTTTATCTGAAGTATCTGTCGATGCGGTGAGAAGATCTCAATTGAATAAACAGGATTCAAACGCGATCGGTCGCTCCGTCCCTGCCCCACCTTTTTCCATGTTCCGTGTGTTAAAGTCAATCTCGTCCCTCATAAACTGTATATCTAGACAGGTACAACGTTGGAATCATTGGAACTTACGATGTCGAAAGGCTACTAAGATTCTAAAGAAGGAGCTCTGTCCGAAGAGGTAAAGCACGAACTTTTCTTTCTCCCACTCCGCTATCAAAGGAGCTTTTTCAAAAGCAAACACATTCTTGAGTTCTTCGAAACTTGTGCTATCGAATGAATACTTCAACTTTGAAAAGGAGTTTTGTCCAGCAAAATATAAGAGATATAGGGAAAGAAAAAACATGTGATCGTGTAAAATATAATTTTATTTTGGATTTTACATAGCTATATAGAACAATCAGGAGTAATATTGCGTTGTGGTAGTTAAATAATATAAAATTTCACACTTAATTTGCTTGTTTAATGGCCGAGTTTTTGTGGGTGACTTTTCGATCAGTTGTTGGCAACTATACGATGTGGCAAAACTCGGAAATTTTGATGTCAAAAATATTTTTTTCAGGAAGTTCATCTAGAGCGTCGTTGAAGCGATAAGAAGAATACGTTCCGCACTTGAAGTGGTTAGCTCGTAGCGTAAAAAGCATGGCGGCTTTATTAAGCAGTATAAAACAGAAAGAAATCGTACTATAAAACGCACAAAGTCCCGCTTAGAATTTTAATACGAAAAACTCAAAATTCTGTCCAGAATGGAGAGCAAATCTGTAAATAAATAACGAATATCGCGCGGCGATACATGAAATCGCTGTGTACAGCGGCATTCGAAAGGAGCGCGTTTTTTGTTACCTATTTAGAAATTTTGTCTCAGCTCTGAAAGAAATTTTCAGGTTTTGCATTGAAGCTGTTGAAGTTAATTCGATCTATCATTCTATAGGTATGAACTTTTTATTGCTCCACACTGCCAAACAAACCCGCTTTGTTCAAGCGACGAGCTAACCACTTCGAGTGCGGAATGTGATCTTCTTTTCGCTCTAACAGCGCTCTATTGAACTTTTCTGAAAATTGATTTTAGTATCAAAATCGTTCAAATTTGTGCTATGGAATAACTTGAAATAATTTGGCGAAAGCCCTCACAGGCCTCAGCTGAGTAAACAGGCAAATTGAGTGGTAAACATTTCTTTTCGCTGTCACAACGCAGTAAAAGAAGGTTTTCATGAATTAAACACATTGTTGGATTTGCCGAAATTGAAACTTTCAAATGATCAATTGAAGTTTTGGGAATAAGTCTTTTCAAGTGAGAAAAGCCTCGAAAAAATCGTGCAGTCAAATGGATACATTGCGTCCAGAAAGGAGTATTTAGCTTAAATGTGTGGTGCAGGTCCATTCTATGTGTCAAGTTAGCGTTATTTTGCCATCGCTTACAAACTCTGACACTCAGATCCGACCTCAAACTGATAAAATTCTCGGATGAGAAGTCGAGCTTAGGCCCGGTTGTGTATTGCTGGGCACTTCTGATCACTGCACCACTCAAGTCTCTCAAAGTCATTCCTACAAGATTTATTCTACAATTGCCAACGTTTCAGCTGATTCATCCCTTCAGGTTATTTTCAAAATCTAATTGTTAACAATCCGTGTTAGCTCATTGAACACATCAAAAATTATCACCATTCAGCTGACAAAACAAAACACTTTTTATTTTTGTCCGAAATGAAGGAGAGTTTTCAAACATAAACGTTAACTCCTTGGCTTCTCAATGAAAGAGAAGCTGCCTTGTAAACTTATTCGAACTAGATTAGTAGCTTACAGATCAGTCGTGTCGAGGAGATGTTGGATATGAACAATGCAATCAGACAACGCCTTGAGAAAAAATCGCACATCTTCTACCAAGAATGCATCGTCAGGAAAGTAACCATTTTTTCACCGCTATCATCGTGAATTTTGTTAAAGGGATACCTTACTATGCAGCAAAAATACGTGATGCATTATGGATCCATTCGAATAAAAAGAAACGAACGACAATCGAAGCCACATCGCTAAGTTCAAGAATGGATTCGTCATGCAGTCCAGAAAGCTATTCTTCCACGTCATCTTTTTAAACATCATTTAATGCAGTAGCTCCTAGAATGTTCAATGAATTTGTTACTGTAGGATTTCTAATGGTTGTCTTTTGTTGGACAAGGTGAAAAAAATTGACAAATAGTATTGCTGCAAAACCACGATATGAGTCGAAAACAAAAAAACAGGTCACGTGATATATATGAAGAGAATCACCTTTTCATGCAGGATTACACATGATTTAGTCAATGAACATGTGAGGATATGGCCACTTACAAATGAGCCAGTTTAAGGGTTTCATATTACACATTGAATTTCTGGCTAGAACACATCATCACTAAATGTATCAAGATTTAGATACCGTGATAATTTCTTTAATCCATGCATGTGGTCTGTTATGAGCACTTGCACAACCCGGTGCACGTGTTTCGGCCTTGCCAGCTTCGCCAGTTGGGCACGTCTCTTCGTGTTTTAGTCAAGTCCTCTTGGTCGAAACCCTACCGCTTACACAACGAAGGCACAAACGTAGTATTCACACGTTCCATTGAGTAAGATTATCATCAAATGGTCAGTGTTGCACACTCGATTACTCTTGATTGGTATCGTCAAGAAATATCGTACTCAAGTTACGAGTGTTTCTTAAGACCAAGCTAAAATTCAATGTGCCCGATTAACAACAAAGAAATAATAATTATCATACATATTGAAATTTGAAAGTGGTCTTGAGAAAACACTCAAAACAAAAGGATTGAAATATCAGCGAACATTAGTGTAACCAATTCTCCAGCAAACCTCTGTAAAACCCTACTTTATTGCGGAATCATTAGCCTAATCAGTGAGGTCGAACTCCTGGTGCGAAGCCCAAGGTTCGACTTTTGCAAAGTCGGAAATTTTGGCGATCTCTTTGGCGAGCTCAATCCGGTTTGTGAACATTCCAACAATACTATTTCGCAAAAATGGAGCAGCTAGGACACCGCTGAAGGTTCTGTGGCGTAATATATAAGGCGACAGTTTCCTCAAATGAAGATTTAATGTTGGAAGCGATTGCTGGATAAGGAATTCTGCAGCACTTGGTAACGCTCCATTCTTAACCATCCTCTCAATGATTTCACTACAACGCCCTAGTCCAAGCTCTGCAGAAGGCCCCAAGGCCTAATCTATAAGGCGTCGGTCTTCCGTATCAGTGTTCCAAAGTTCAAGTCATTGTATGTTTGGAAGTTTGCGGATTTCGCTAAGTTTTCGTTCCAGTGTGGCAACATTACACCACTCTCATTTCAAAATTATGTCGAAGTCTAGACCTTGTGTGGGATGTGGCCAATGCCTAAAAGGTGCATTAAACTGAAGATTCAGGATTGTGTCCTGCTGGGTCGAAAACTTGCTTATTTTCAAAAACCTCCGGTCCATTTTGATAACATTATGTATGTATCAACTCACCAAATGCCACAACGAGAGCTTCCACGAGGCCCTGTCGGCCTAATGGATAAGGCGTCGGTTTCCTAAAACGAAGATTCAAGGTTCAAGTCCTTGCTGGGTCGAAAATTTTTCGATTTTTGTGGAAGGTCCGCTCCGGCTTACAAACATTTCACAAATGTCATTTTAATGGATGAGGCACTGTATCGAAGCTTGTAGGCCCTGTGCCCCGAAGGAGCAGGCGCCAATCCGCCGATCAGAGGAATCAAGGCTCGAATAATTGATAGGTTAGAACTTTGCGGCATTTGACAACAATTTTTTCTTGTTTCAAAACATATTTTTTTAATACCCTTTTGCTATTATGCCACACTTCACATCATGTGAGGCTCTATTCAATGAATAGTGTGTCGGTCTCCGCAATCGAAGGTTCAGGGCTCAAATCCTTGTTGAATCAAAGTTTTTCCTGCCATTTTGGGTTTTTCATACTCATTTTCAAACATTTCAGTAATGTCTTTCCATCATTATGCCGCAGTTTAATTTTGAGAGATGGCGTGGTCTATTTTTCTGCGATGGATTGCCGCGCAGCGACGGGCAGTACGTAATGCACCTCTGCGACGGTAATATGGGTTTTACTTGACACGTTGAGCTTCTGAGGCACATTATCGTGATCAAGATGTAATGTCACAGAGGAGACTTAATGAAGAATTTTTTACTTATAAAAACGGTCCTGTATCGAGAGAATGTACAGCTCAATGACAAGAGAGGCTCTGCAACATACACGATAAATCAATCGATGGACGATGGATGAATTCCATGCTCAATGCTCACCAATCCTTGCAATTCTCCTATGTCGGTGAATCGGTATCACATTTCGTGGTAGAATAGCAGCACTAACTTGTTACATTGGCAGGTCACCGCACGTCATTGTTTAGGCCACATGTGCATTGATTGCATCAACTCAAGCGATGCGAGATGAGACAAATGTAAGGCGCGTACTTCAGACACTGATCAACATCGAGAGTTCAACTTTTTCTATCCATGACCACCTATAAGGAACAACGGGAACAACGGATAATGGAAATTCTGTACAACGAATAGTGAGTTCGTCCAAACGGACATCCTGAGAATGCAAACGTGGCAATATTACTTTTTATTTATATTTATTTATTTACGCGACTCATTATCACAATTCTTATTGCGCGGATACCAGTACTTTTAGCATTCGATTCGTTTTTCGTCTTTTTCTTGAATGACGCAGAATACTGATCGGACATGTCCCCTTGCAATCTCGAGGATAACCTGATTGCGGCGTTTCATAGGCGTTCTTGTTGACAGCCGAAGAGGGTTGGGGGGGGGGGGGCAATAGAGCGCGGTTTACGCGCGGCTGCGGCGAGCATCACAATCACTACGCCAGGGCGTCTCAAACATTATAATAACAATGTTAAACGATAATATGCAAACAATTATAACGTGATGTTATATGACGATCACATAGTAGGAGTAAAAAGATAATTTCGCAAATGATGATTTTGTAAGACCCTAGTGAAGTGATCTGAAGATGGTAGAGTTCTGTGTATAATGGACTCCTCCACCCCATTACAGGACAAATCGCAACTCGCTGACAATTCAGCACTCGGCGTCGATAATACAACAGTGTCACGGCCAATGACCTGCAACTGACCACTGTAGGCCATTGAGTGACTTCTCTTTGATGACGACTGAATGAATCCGATCCGTACGTTCGTACTACATATCCCAAATGGTCAACGTATCGATATGGCAGCCAATAGACCGAAAAGTTGAAAAGTAGCAACAGAGCCGTGCGGGAGTTTCCGTACGCAGAGGAGATTCTGTAGGACTAAAAAAAACTCAGGATCACTCTGTGCTTCCCTGAGACACGGATGGAGTAGGGTATACACTTACTGCTTCTGCTGCGCTTACTAGGCACATACCTTGAGCGTTTATCTATATGTAATTATGTGTACGTGCTTGCATGTGCTCGCGTTTATGCGGATTATATTTCTACGACCCAGTAAAACCAACATCCTGCAATAAAATAACTAAAGCGGATCGAAGGAGCTTAAGAGTTACCTGAAACAAGTAGGCTTCCACTCGTCCATGCCGGTGGAAACTGGTTTTTCCAGCAAGCAACCACCCGCTATGCTCGGAGCTTGAAATTTGTCGCGTCGTGTATCGTACATCACGCAGTAAAATAACTGGCCCACATCATTCTTCCTTTCCTCTCGCCATACTACAGCGCTGAGTAAGACGAGAATGGAGAGTTGCGTGAACTCTCAAAGCAGTTCTAAGCTGCCTAAATCTTGAAAGATCAAGGTGAAGGTTCTGTGCCTATAATGCAGGTTCATTGGTATCTGCATGTAGGCTAGAAGGACAAAGTACGATATCGTGGGATTCACTGAGATAAAAGAAATGCCTTTTATTTTGATAGAGTCTATGACACCGAAAAAAAGGTGTTCCTCTAGAACATGTGAAAGTAGAAATTTCGGTAGTCGTTGGTATTTTCATCAACACGAATTTCACCATAGAATCGCTTGATTTATTCACACAGCTAGCAGCACCGAGGTTGCCTGCATTTGAAGAATTTCGAGTCGATAACAGCTATGACCGACTTCGTTGTTTACCAGTCGCCATCAAGTCGAAAAAAGACGGAATAGAAGAGTTTATTATGGACATGAAGAAATTTCAAAAGAAGAAAGTAGTTTTAACATCACCACTGAAGAACCTAATGCAAAAATTGAATTCAAAAGAACTCTTGAAGCTACATCACATAGATTCCACGGAGCAAAGCAGAACGAGCTGGATAGGAGGACTGCACTGAGTGTCTTTAGGGCGACTAAGATATGGTAGCACATGATCTTCACAGCTCTTCAACGCTGGAAGCAAGCGTCTCCATGGGGAGTGCCATAACAAAATAGGCCACACCAATAGTACTTCAGAGTGCTTCAGCTTCCTTTCTGTCACAGCTTGATATCGGTGCATGAGCAACGAAGAATGTCACGGCGTGAATTGATCCGCATCGCTTCAATTACAGCCACGCGATCCGCGTCGGGACTTGTTTGAATGAATTGATGCTTATGGTCAAGCTCGATTTACTGGAGCGCAACACCGCTAGGGCCTCTACGATCACATGTTCCTGCAAGCAGTTTTTTTTTGATGTCACAGACAGTGAAATCAGTAGCAGCGCTTTAACCACAGAGAAGCCGACGACGTCACATCTTATCCTTTTTACCTGCACTGATGGATCTCCTTATGGATGATTCGCGTGCAAGTGTACACGTGCTATGGGTACAGATCGTCACTTTGTCTGTTGAGATTTCGGCCATCTATTTTGGTCACGAGATTTCAACGCCTTTTCCGTTCTCGCACATTATCACGATGTCGTACCGCAAGCCTTTTGGAGTCCAAGAAATGAGGTCTGTTTTTTAATCCTTCAGTATTTCCTAATCAATGAATAGCTTCTTTGAAATCGGAACGTGGGATTTTGGCAACTAGGGTAGCTTTCCTGACTCTTCCGAAATGGCAATGGAGAAATCATTTGTCGCAAGTGGCTCCGAAATCTCTCGTGTGCTTCTCAATCACTTGATTTCAGACTCTGACCAATTTGACTTATAGGAATGAAATATGTCAAAATGGCACTGCAGAAGCAGAAAGTTTCAATTCCTAAATCTGGTTAAGTCTCAAGGATGCACATGTTAGCTTTTGGCTGATGTTTATTTCTCCTATGTGGAAAATCGCTACGTGCATTCGAGACAGATCGGGCAAGGGTTTTTAATGAAGAAGACTCTTGAATAAAAATAGGATCTTGATGTTAACATAAAACGTGTGCTCCTACTATAGCTCCACCTCTATATCGATCATCTTATTTATTATATTCCACGGACCTCCCTTTTTGAGGGATCCCGCCCGGTTAGTCGCGAGGGCACGTGGAGCGTCCCCAGGTGGTGGATAGGGGAATAAAACGCGAACCAAAAGCGACCGTGTGCTTCCCAGAGACGCAGGTGGATTCAGGGGACGAGCTCCCTGCTTCTGCAGTGCCGACTTGACAAAACTCTATTTCTACGAGTCAAGTCGGCCAAAAGCCTGCAATCAAGCGGCTGGGAAGTACATGGGAGGCGGTTAGGAGTCGCCTCCAACAAATAAGCTCCTCCCGCTCCTCCGAGAGAGGACTGGCAAGCTACTCGTGAGTACCCAGCCCCCACGTTTAGAGCCTGGCAAGCTACACGTTGGGTATCAAAAATGCCAAAAACAGTAACAAATATGGGCCTCATTCCCCTGACCCCGAAAGAGCCCCTGGTACGGCAGCGCCAGGTAGGACGAGTACGGAGAGGCTGCTAAAATCTCAGGGCCGAACTAGGCTGCCAAGATCGAAACGGACTAAAATGACGATCTGTACCTACAATGCGAGAACCCTTGCTCAACAATCCGCTGTAGAAGATCTGTTGATTCAAGCAAGAAGAATAAGGTACGACGTCATTGGCCTGGCTGAGACGAGAAGGCGCCATCCTTTTCACGCTGTCTGTGACACCGGAGAAGAACTGTTCCTTGGAACATGCGATCGCAGAGGTGTCGGTGGCGTTGGCGTCCTCGTCAAATCGAATTTGACCGTGAACATTGATTCGTTCGAACAACTAACAACCCGCATCGGACGATTACGGTTGAAACGATGTGGTTCTATGCCGGCTTTGACCATCTTCGTTGCTTACGCACCAACATCAAGCTATGACGAAGACGAAGTCGAAGCGTTCTATATGGACCTCGAAAAACTCTTCAGAGAAGATCATACATTCTTCAAGGTCATTGTCGGAGATTTTAAACGCAAAAATTGGACCTAGAAGAACGTCTGAAGAACGTCACATAGGGACCCACGGACTAGAATGAAATGAAAAGGGTGAGAGGCTATCCGAGTTTATCATGACGACCCAAACCATCCGTGGTAACTCGCAATTCCAAAAGCCTCTCTCTCAGCGATGGACGTGGGAGTCTCCCAATGGAGAGTACCATAACGAAATAGATCACATCATAGTAAATCGAAGGTTTTGCCTGACCGACGTCGCTGTTGTTCCCAAGTTTCTACACGAGATCAGACCATCGCCTCCTTCGCGCA